TTTTTTTTTTGACAATCTACAGTTAAGTGTTATCTCTAAAAGCCCTCCTGTAACCTCTGACCTGTTCGTAATGTGGTATGATAGATATATTAACGCTCACCAGTAGTAAAATAAACTGTCTTGAGGGTTCAATGCTACACCGCATAAATTTTCAGCGGTTCACGACTTTACTACTCTATTCACCCTTTACACTAGCAAAGTAGGCATTCTTGCAACTGTACCTGCTAAAGTTCGCTTCATTACTGCGCGGGATGAAACGTGATGGGACGCACATGAACCACATAAAATGTTTTCGAGAATTTGAAAAATCTTTACTTTCTAGACGTAGCTTCACCTCAGTTAAAGTCACAAACTGATGAAGCCACAAAGACTCCTTTAACAGTCTTTAAAAGATACCGCCTGGAAAGTGAAGTGACGTTTTCTTCCAACAATTATTTATAATCCCTATATTGTTAACTAAAAACTATTCGGCCAGTTCTGGGGATTGCAAATATTCTTTATACTTTTCTCTTCGAAAAAACCAATAAGTGCACTCTCAGGGAGAGTTTCTGCAACGTAAAAACCATCTATTTAGTGAATTTGAAAAATTGTAAGGGGTGTGCTGATTTTACTACATATGATGAGTAAATGTTTGAACCATAGTAAAAAGCAAAGGAATGGACTAAAAAAGAAAACGTAGGTTGAATTCTAAGCACAACCGACAGTAATAGAGTTTGAAAGACCGGATGCCAACTTCCAGTGACGTACAGTCAATTTGATGAAGGAAACTGCGGAAGAAAATCCACAAAAAGCAAAAAAGGTGAGAAGAACTATCTATCACTGAACAATTCAGTAACTTAAGGTGTTTTTTACTTGCAGAGGATAAAGCTGTCACACCAAGAAAATTTTCTTAATCAAACTGCGATCACTAATCTTTTAAGGGAACTTGAAACTCCATAAGTAGGCAGGTTTTGCCAATTAATTAAGTTTATTCGTAGTTAAATGGCAAAAAAAAGTGAGGAAAAAATATTGGGCACTACTGCAACTAAAAATGTCCACTGCCAAAATTTTTTCGACGGATAACCTGACTTCATTTTTTGTACGCCTGATTCATCCGCAAAAGTTTTAGACTTTTACACTTAGTTCTTGCTGACTCTCTGACAATCTCATTCCAAAATGTTGCCCTATTTCTTTATTCACTTCACAACGCATCCTTCACGTCAGCAAGTGGGGTGCTGGTTAGCGCATGCATCCTTAACCGCGATTTTAGGATTCTGAAAGGAGTTCAAACGCACTCCTGTGAAATTCGTTTACTCGCATTTCGTGGCCGTTTCTTAGTCTGTTCAGAAATATCCATTTAATTATTTAGTTGTGAATATAAAATTCAACAGATGGTGGCACTAAGTAAGTTCATTTTCTAGAGGAGTCTGCTTTCGTTTTTTTATAAACATATTTAGCTGCTTTTTAGTATAGTAGAGATAAGATAAAAACCTGAGCTGTAAAACCCTAACAGCTATACTTTGCTCTCTATCTTTGTTTTAATTATTTTCTATTTTCCATTACCTCATTTTAACTATATTGCATTTTTCATAATCTGTAGTTTCTTCTACTCATTTTTGTCGGAAGTTTTTTCTTCAGATTACTTTCTTCATGTTTGACTTCCTCAAATTAGTAAGCGCTTGGAGAGGCTTATAAAATAGTAAAAGCAGCCTTAAACACCTCTAGAACATAACTCATTTAGTGCATCTGCTCAGTTATAGGTACTTGACTAAAACACTGTGATTAAGTAACCGTTTTTGGACAGACGAGAAAATAGTCAAGAAATTTGAAAACCTTGAACAGAAGAACTAAATGAGAGTTGATTTGAACTCCTTCCAGATTTTTACAATCGCGGATGCAAAACGCACTTGCAAACCATTACACAACTTGATCACATTAAAGCTCCATGATTAGGTGGTAGAAGGATTACACCAAAATTTTGACGTTAGACTGTTAGAAAGTTAGCAAGAACTAAATGTACAATTCTGAAATTATGGGACTGGATGAGGTGTTGTGAATTCCATATACAAAAATGAAGTTAGGTTGTCATTCAAAAAAAAAGGATGTTTCAAGGCACTCTTAACTGAAATAGCTCTCAACATTCCCACCTCACTCTTTCCGTACAAACAGTACTATTCAGCAGTCCCCACTCACAATAAATAGCGTAATGTTCAGCACTGAAACTGAAGAACTTGAGACGCGTACATGATTACATGTAAAAAATTAGAAAAGTGACCTATAGCCAAGTCAGAAAAAGATGCGTCAATTCTTTGCATTCTTTGGAACAGACGCCCATGAAAACTAACCGGTTGAGATTGGAAGTGTGGCTGAGGTTCCGGAGAGAGTGAAGTCTCAGATCTAACTTTCAGACTTTCTTGTGGTATACCAAATAAGTGCTGATAAAAAAAATAAAGTAAAACAACTCAATAGGTAAGGCGGAAGAGATTGTACGAAAAACATTAAAGACGACTTAGTAGAGCATGCGTCAGTGGAAATGAAGGTCGCGCAAGATGAAGCTGTCAGATTGGCAGCATTTTACGCACTCATTTACCATGCCTTCGCTTCCCGTTCGCTTAAAACCTAGCTCGCCCCAGGGTATTCCTTTAAACTTGCGATATGAGCACAACTTTCGCTGCCCAGGCAAGTCATTTTGCCTTAATTCATTCTCATTAGACTATTACAAAGCTGTTTCATCCCCATTTTACCTATATACGTTGTACTGCACATGAACCATTAGTGACTTATTCTGATACTGCTAATTCTTCTGCAGACTACAGCCGCCGGTCAAAGGTATTTGCGAAACGCAAAAACGACATTTTGTTAACCTAAATATTAACCGAAGGACGGAGAATTGTAAAGTCCATTCCGGCATATTTTTTACCTGGTTTTTTACAGCCAACATCCCATATTTATATATATACATAGTTTTTGCCAGAATTTAAAGATGAAACTGAAGGAGTAATTAATTGTGACTTTACTATTGTTCGGCAGAGAAAGCTACAATTTAACGGCTTGTTACTGAAGACTTAAACCTATGAGACTAACGGCTTTCTGTTGGGATTTTTTTTCTCCGTCCCCCCGTGTTAGAATTATGAGGAGAAACAGACCACCTATAAGAAAATTTTTGGTACATGCGAACTCCAACAGTTTAATTATATTTAGTTCTACTATGAAAGAAGAATAAGACAACGAAATTTTGTTTTTACTTTGACGTTAACAAAATTTTTTGCTACCGTATAACGTATTTCATTGCTAGATTGTAGGTACGGATAGGGCGTTAAATTTCAGTTTATCTGAGCAGTCGGTTATTACTGAGTTAAAAAATAAGACTATATTTCCCAACTGTTGTGCAGTGTTTCCATCGATTTAAGTGTATCTGTATACGTACCTAAAATTGAAGTAATGCGCTGAAGTTGAAGAAACAGAAAATTGAGAGGGAAGCGATTGGCGGGATGGGCCGGAGTACGGCGGCGGTCGGCTTGCTTCTGCAGACGTTCAGAGGGAAAGAGGATATCAAGGGGTTAGGAGCATGAATGTAACAACTGTCTGCAGATGCTAGCCTGGGTTTGGCTTGCATGAATGTGCTGAGAGGAAAAAGCTATTTGATTAAACCAAAAACCGAAAACTTCGACTGCAGTTTGCCGGGCACCGTTTTAATCGGACAGGTACTGATTGAAAGCAAGTAGTTTTCACTGGCAGTAGTGAGTTTATTCTGACAAGCAGCAGTGGCAAGATTTTTGGCAGAGGGAGTGTAGATGAGGAGTTCGGTTCCAGTTGCACTTAGAAAACTCTGGGATTGAGCGGTGATTTATTTATTTATTTATTTATTCATTTAATACTTACCTACCGGTATGACTTATGTTTTTTGTCGTTCACCTGAAAAAATTTTGTGAGTAATTTGCTAATTCTTTAAATTCAGTACGCATTGGGCCAAAAGAGCCTTCTTCTACAAAATTGTTAAGATGCTATCTAAATCGGTTAGGCCCGCTTAGTAGTTGAAGTCTAGTTTATGTTGTTCATCATGATTTTGTTAAAGCTTTTAACAGAGTGCGGCATGAAAAATTGATTTATTCTTGGAGAAGTAAGAAAGTTAGAATTTGTTTACTTAAAGAAATTAAGAACTTTTCTAGTGTTCTCAAGGAGGGAGTCCTGAACCCCTTACTGTTCTTAATCTTTATTGTTGATTCCATTTCAATTATAGAACATAGCATAACATACTTATATGTCGATCTTTTTAGGATATCGGTCTTTGTAAACCTGGTACCATTGATGATGAGTTTGTCCCTTTACAAAGGGGTTTTGACGACGCAGAAAAATGGCTAGCAATCTACACCTTCAGTTTCCTTTTAAAGAAAAATGCAGTTTTAAGAACTAGTGGTAAATATCCCAGTCCATATTTACTTTTAGCAAACATATCTTTATGTTATAAACTAGTAATTAATGCTCTCGCTGTGCATTCTGATGGTAAACTCTGCAAGAAAATTTATTTTGAAGCAGCTTTTTGGAGGTGCCTCAACATTATTCACTTTTTGTAATGCTCCTTTGAAAGCAGTGAAGCTGGGTTTTCCATAAATTTAAGTGTTTATAGTACTCGTTTCCCTGAATGGAGCACTGATTCATTTTCCTTCTGATGAAAGATTTGATAAAGGAAAAATAAGAAATCCAGCAGTGATTTTCTAAAATTCCAGAATTTTTACAGACTCAGGTCGCCTTCAAGGAAATATCGATAATTTTCTGTCTCGGCCGCACTGGGTACGTAAGGGCTTACTGTGCTTGTTATAAAAGTTGATGTTCTTGATGCTTCCATACCTAATCCTTGTTTAGAGCGATCACTCTACTAGACCTTGAAATTTACAGCCAGCAATCCTTTTCTATGATAGCTATGTAGCTGTAAGTTCGCTTTTTGTCTTCAGAAACAAGTCTTAGAGTAATCTTCCTGAACTATTAAAGAAATCACACGGTCTAAATATGTCCAGGAACGGTTTAGATTGTACTCAGTTGGTTTGAGCTGCTTAAAGGGAATTGTCTGGATTTTAATGTTAAATGTCAGTTGGTAGTTTTTCGTTACATGATAGGAAGGAGGTATGCCTCCCATTGTTTGAATGCATATACAGATATGTTTTCTTTTCTAGGAGGCGAGTAAGTGAAGTCATTGACAGCAACTGCTTCGCTACACAATACTTTTTGTGTCCTTCAGAATAAGAGCTACTTTCTAAACAGCAGTAAACTCAGTGAAAGGCAGCAGCCCGTTCAACCACTTTTCTTGAAGGCTGAGTGTATTTTCTGAGAAGCCTTGCCATTCAGCAAGCATAGAATTTGAAGACAGTTTTATCTACAGAGACATAGGACAACGAATTTTTTTCATTCCGATTTTAGGGGAATCGACGAGCAAAAACCAGTGCTACTGGAAAACTGATTCCAAATCTGCCTAAATTAGAATTCATACTACACCAAAAAGAATAAAAAAAAAAGAAGTACGAATTGATTTTGCTCGAGCAGGTGCAGCAAGAAAGAAATTAAATAATTAGGGTCCAAGAGGTATATGAGGTATATTTTTCACCGTGAATGAACTAAGTCGGTATGTTAGTGGTTCTAGTTTACCGAAATGGAAGGTTGCCAAGGAGGAAGTTTCCCTCCAGAATCCCAGGACGTCTAACGATATAGTTTTTTTAGATATAATTTTGAGTTATTTACCCGCCAACGGCTACCGTCCTGGTATTTCAACGTGTTTAAAAATTTTCTTTGTGTCTTTGTCTTTTTTTTTTTTGAAGTCCACTGATGTTAAAATCTGTATTTGGTGGGATCCAAGGTGATCGAAACTATTTTATCGGTTTCTTGCTGCTGTTGTTTGTTTTCTTTTTGGAGCTTAACCTTTCAGTGCTATTTTTAAAAAACTTTAATGGCCTACCAACTTATTATGGTGAATACTCCAATAGGTTTGCTGTAGGGTCTTGCTGTTGTTGTTACCGAGATGCCTAGTAGTGGCGTACGTACGACTGAGGCGTTGGCAGGTAACTTGTGCAGTTGAA